AGCAGGTTGGCAAGAAAAAATCCCCTGGTGGTGCGCGGTGCGGTGCGCAAGCAGCCGAAGGCGCTGATCGAGGGCTAGCTACGGGAGCACACAGGGAAGAGGCGCATCTGCGTGCAGATAAACCAGTGAGAAGGGAAGCCTGCGTGGGGCAGCAGGCTCGCACAATTCCAATCGGATAAACAGACCCGGGGCGAGTGGTGTGACTGGACGGACTGGGCTAGCGGAGAGGACCGCCATTTGCTCCCTCTCTGACCACGCCCCCACACACAGCGTCACAAACCAGCGACCTGGGTCGCCCCATCCTGGTAAACAACTAAGGCTTCGATCCGCTTACTTAACGGCACGAATAGACCAAAAATGGCTCTAGGACAACTCAGAGCCCCAGAACCGATAGATCTAAGCGATGAAGAAATAGCCAGTCTTTCAGATGCACAGTTCAAAACACTGGTTATCAGGATCCTTACAGAACTGGTTGATTTTAGTCACAAATTAGAGAAACATATGGAAGCTAAACTAATTGAAATGAATGGTAATAAAAAGAAAACCAATAGTAATGGAAAGGAAATTGGGACTCAAATCAAGGGAGTGGACCAGAAGGAAGAAAAAAATGATCAAACAGAAAAGAATGAAGAAATAAGAATTCAGAAAAATGGGGAGAAGCTTAGGAACCTCCAGGACATCTTTAAACATTCCAACATCCGAATTATAGGGGTACCAGAAGGGGGAAAGGAACAGCCACCAGTGGAAAACTTATTTGAACAAATAATAAAGGAGAATTTCCCCAATCTGGCAAAGGAAATAGACTTCCAGGAAATCCAGGAAGCTCAGAGAGTCCATAAAAATTTCCACATGTTAAAAGATGCCATAAATAAAATTAAAAGAAAGAAATATAATAAATAATTTCTACAAATCTGGGAGAAGGCAACCCAAAGATAGAAAAGTGGGCAAGGGATATGATCAGGCAATTTCCTGAAGAAAAAATGCAAATGGGCCAATAAACATGTAAACTGGTAAAAATGAGGGAAGTGCAAATTAACCTGGCATCAGTTTAAATTCAGTAGGCTGGCACAAATTTAAAAGGGCACGAAGAAACAGGCACTTCCATACACCATTGCCGGGGATATAAATTGCCCAGTCTTTCTGGAGAAGAGCGTGCTCTAAAACATTGCATCTGTAACAATTTAAGTGTATATTCCTTTGACCCAGAAATTCTGTTTCCAAAAATACTCAGACACTTGCATATGAATCATGTAAAGGACTCTTCATTACCCTGTTGTAGTAGTGAGAATGTTGGCAGCAACCTAATCCTCTGTCACCATATCTCAGACAGCTAGGTTCTCCTTTTGGGCCAGAAACTAAAGCCCATTTCCCTGGGTACTGTAAGTTCCTGCTTCCTCCCGGGGTACAGAGCGAGTGTCTGTGACATGTGACGAGCACCTGGAGAGAAGACAGCTCAGCCCTCCATCACAGGTGTGCTTTCCCTCAGCTGGCTGTTCCCTTCTGAATCTATCGGTTCAGTTTTAATTTTTGACTTCTGCATTTTCTAACGGGAATCCCTGAATCAGGTAACCTAATTCTGTGGGTGATTTTATTAGTAGCAAGTATGTTTTAGGGAAGTGAGATCTACACATGGAGAACTTAGGGGAGGGTTCAGAAAACTACTCAAAGTAGATAAACCCAATTTCATTTTGGTCAAGGTTGATGAACCTATACCCCACATAATGAAAATTCTTAGTCTCCATGGCATTAGCCCTGAAAAATTCCTATGATTTATTCAAAAGAAAATTTAACTTTCTAATATATTAGTCTCTCTTGGGCTATAAATATGTACAAAAATATATCTAGTTACTGACTAAAGAGAAAGAAGAGTTACCTCTTTACCCCCAACTATAAGATTCCTTGATAGGATGTTTAATATTTATCAAACATTGATTAGATGCTCTTTACCCAGCATTTTAATTTGCATGGATAATGAAATTATTTACAAGCCAGCAATTGAGCCAAACAATCACAAATATTATATGATCTGCAAATTTAAATTTTTCTGTAGCTATTTAAAAAAGTAAAAGACAGGTGACATTAATTTTAATATTTTTATCTCACCCAGGATATAAAAAATATCCCTTCAGCATATATTCAATATAAAAATCATAATTTTACATTCATTTTTGGATACTAAGTCTTTGAAATTCAGTGGGTATTTTACATTCGAAGCCTATCTGAGTTTGGACCAGCCTCATTTCAAGTGCTAGGTAGTCCTTTGTGGCTAGTGGCTGCTGCATTGGACTGGACTGTAAGTACCAGAAATAGTGACAGTCTCATTATTGTGTCCCCGGAACCTATCACAGCACCTGGTACGTAGCAGGTGTTCAATGAGAATTTTAGCTTAATGAGTGAATGGGTAAATACAAGACTGTCTTCACTGATTCTTCAGCCTTCGATCTATGTGAGTCATATGTGTCACAAAAAGTTGGCAATGAATTTATAATAGAATGTCTTCTCTGCTGTACGACCCTTTAGAGAAAATCCTAGAATACACTGTGCCTTTTCATATTTGCCCAAAAGCAATTTTTAAAACTACCTCTTGGCTCCAGATAATAAAGTAAAGCGCATTATAGAGACCCTTACTAGAGTTCCCATCTGTTGATTGTAGCAACTCTGTAATGTTTTTTCCTTTACATTTGTCTTGCTAATTCTTAGAAACACGTGTGTTTTGAGAAGACCATTGCCTAATCCAACCCCATCCCCAAAATTATGTATCTCACAAGCACAATAATACCACGTCCACTGAGGGCTGTACATTGTTTTGATTATACCTGTCACTGTTTACTTTGACTTAAGTTAAAACCAAGAAAACTCCTTGAATTTGTTTTATATTTCCAACTGTTTTAGGCATTGTGGGTGATACAGGAGAATTATTATCCATGATCTTTACCATTAGAAGCTTATAGCCTATTTGGAGAAGAAAACATTAATGAAATGAGTAGAGAAAAATTAAATTTGTAAATTTGTTTAGTGTTTCTGTGTGCTTTAAGCTTGGTAGTTGAAAAGATAAATGCAAATACATTCATCTTTCCTCACATAACTCAGAGGTGCCTGAAAAGATACATGTATAAACCAGTAAACACTTTCACATAATAGCAAGTGTAGTAACTGTGATGAGGAAACTGAGACTCAGTGGGGGTCAGTGACTTGCTCTAGGCAGCGGTTAAAAAAGAACCTGGATTCAAACCTTCAAACCTAGACATTGGTAGGAGCCCCTTGCTCTTTCTTCTACACCACACTTTCTGCGTTTCAAGATTCTTAAAAGGAGAAACTGAGTTCTTCACTTGAGGTAAATCACAGCTCAAGAGTAAGTTTTTCGATTATAGTTTACCTAATATTTTGTTTATTCATGTATTTACATAATTATGGTATAATCATTAATAGTATATTATATCCTAATATTTGACTGGTAGGGTACTGAGCTGTAAAAGCTGTAGGCTTTTTCCCCTCGGCACAATTAAAGGCATTTGTTCAGTGAGTGGTGAGCAGCGGGAGTCCTCAGGTACAGTCCGGCTGGCCATTTGGAGGTATGCTGTAGAGGCATGCACGCAGTGTGAATAGACCAGTGCTTATTTTCACTTAGTTGATTTTTTTTTAAATGAGGAAGAGCTGTATGGGCTGGACTTGGAGGTGTTCTCCCACGAGGCATGGAAGGGTAGGTAGACCAGGCCAGGGTCTGAGGGAAGGACTTGGCTTCCCAGGCAGAGACAAACTTAAACAGGCAGGAGTGTGAGAGGTCAGGACAAGACTGTCTTGAAAGGCTCTAAATTGCTGGTAGAGAACTTTGTACTTGAGCAATAAGGAACCATTAACGACTCTCAGACAGAACGGGTAGATTGGAGTTGATGATTCGGTGATTCATGGTTGGTTCGTTTTTTAGTTTCCCTGGATCTGTGTGATTTCTTTTCAGTGCTTGTTTAAAAGCACACCCTAGGAAGTGGGATTATGATTTAAGTTACGTTGGTAATGAATGTTTATTTGTATAGAGATGTTTATTAGGTGTCCAGCATTGTGCTAAATATTAATTAACATTATACCAGTATCTACTCTTAATATATGAATGTAGATAAGTCTTTAGGGTAACAGTCAACTGTAGCAGATTCTTACTCTATCCAGTTTGTATTTAAGCATCTTTGGTTTTGCGGTTATGTAAGGGTTTGTGTAGACTGGCATTAAAAATTATGAGGGTAATAGAAATAATGTAAAGTTTTAGGGATTTTTTTACTCTAAAATAACCCTAAAATAATTTTAGTGCATTGGTTGACAAAATTTATACTTTAGAAAGCTTTCAAATATAAACTGTAGAACTAGCTTTTCTGAGTGGAGAACTCTCACTCAGAGCTCTCTGAGGTGAATGTAGGAGCATTTTTTGTTAACTGACATAATGTCTGGAGCAGTATTTAAATTCTACATTTTGCTGTAACACTTTGAAAACCAGTTTTTAAATTAAGTTATAGATTATGGAAAAATCATAGGTTTTATGTGTTTGTATTTTTATTTATACATGACTCATTCACATTTGTGATTATATTTATGTAGTTTTCTAATATTTTCAGTTTAATTTAGTTGGCCTGTGTTTTTTTCCTCCTCTAAGGAAATAAGAAAAGTTATTCTTTTAGCTTTGGGATTATTAAACCCCTTCTCCTTCTTTCCTTGAAAATTCTAAGTTATCAGCCATCTTCCTGAGTTGATAATGCTATTTTGCCTCCCTTGGGAAAAACCTTTTTACAGTTGTCGAAATCTGAAAGTAGTCATATGAAATAGAAATGAGACCAGCTCCTTGAAATCTTAAGTAGTGTGTGTGAATGTATAAAATAACCTAAGCAAATAAATAATATATCCATGTTATAAATCTTCCCTGATCCCCTTTTTAAATCTAAAAAGATTGTTACCAGATTTTGTCTGGCTTTCAGTCTGCTGGGCCATCTGTGGGAAACTGTGCTGTTCTCTCCTAGGCCACAGACCACCACCAGCACGAAGCGGACACCGCTGTGTGGCAGACAACACCAATCTGTACGTGTTTGGAGGTTACAACCCAGATTACGATGAGTCAGGAGGGCCCGATAATGAAGACTATCCGCTCTTCAGGGAGCTCTGGCGGTATCATTTTGCTACAGGAGTATGGCACCAGATGGGCACAGATGGGTACATGCCCCGGGAATTGGCATCCATGTCACGTGAGTGCAAGCACGTTGGAACTTTTGACTTTTTGAAATGTCTGAGAGGTCCGGTTCAGTGTCACATGTTCTTTGTTAATAGTTTATAATAACACCAATATGATCAAACCCTGTTAGTGGAGGTAGACTTTTTACTATGGCAATAATGTAGCATGGTGATTCAGAAGCACTGGGGAGTTGCATCGTCCTGAGGTTGAATTTGCTGTATATCATTTCTTGCCAGATTATTTTTAGCTTCAAGTTCCTTAGCTGTGAAATGGGATTAATGATATCTCAGAGGGTTCAACAGGAAGTATGATGTATATGCTAGGCAAAGCGTAGAAGATCAGAAAATGGGGTTTATAATGATGATATGTTACTAAGTAAAGTACTTCACACATGGTATCAGTTTAATTCTCATAACATTCCTCCAGTGCAGGTGCTAGAACTGTGGCCATTGCACAGATGAGGAGACTGAGGCTTTAGGGAAGCCCTGTGTGTAGTGGCTAAGAGTGCAGGCTCTGGAGCCAGACTGCCTCAGACTGAATCCCGGCTTGGCAGGGTTCCTTTGAGGAAACCTTCAGCAAGTAGATTAAAACACTTACCACTTCTGTTTCATTGTCTATAAAAATGGGGGCGATAATAATAACTCCTACCTCGCAGGGTTATTGTGAACATTAGTTTAGAGAGATTTAATAACTCTCCTGGGGCCGCACAGGAATTTAAACCTAGCTCTCACTGGCTCCAGAGCCCACGCTGTTCACTCATACACTGCATCAATTGAAGGCTTGGTCAAAAAAAAATGCCATGGAAATAATACAGTAGCACTATTTTGAGAGTATTCGCCATTGGAGAAGGCAAGAAGATATGCGTGACCGTGTGTGTGTGTGCGCGTGCGGTGGCAGCAGCAGAAGAACAACACCGAAGTTTCCAGCAGGGTATTGGTGTTTCTCTTTCTCTGGGGGAGGATGAAGATAACTGAAGCCATCATTTCAAATGCAGAGATCGTCCCCCTGGCAGAAACAGAGTGGCCCTTTTACCCCTTTGTCTTGAGTCCCACTGGGTCTTCACTGAGGCAAAGGTGACACTTCATTTTCCTCTGCTTTGCTGCACACTTGGACTGTCCTGAACGGTGGGGAGGGGGGGGTGTGTGCTCTAGCTCCTGTCACTCAGTACACAGAGTATGTCATGAATCCCACAAACATGTACTGAGTACTTGTCACATACCGCCCAGCGAGCTGCATGACACTGTCCATGCGGAGTTAGACCTCGTTCTCCAGAACTTCGTAGTAGTTAGATGTCGGTGGTTTGAGCGTCTTCTGAAAGCATTTAAGCAGACATTTCTGAGTTTCTCAGATGACTAGTGTTTACGCGGGAACGCATTCGGGCAGCCAGCGCGTAAACGGAGCTTGTGCTTCTCCTCCCGCAGTCGTGCTGCACGGAAACAACCTGTTAGTGTTCGGGGGCACAGGCATCCCATTTGGCGAGAGCAACGGCAACGACGTGCACGTCTGCAACGTGAAGTACAAGAGGTGGGCCCTGCTCAGCTGCCGTGGGAAGAAGCCCAGTCGCATATATGGACAGGTACCAATCCGCGGCTGGTGGGCTGGTCGGGGCGCGTGCGTTCGTTCTGGGGACAAACAGTGCCAGAATTTTTTTATTCCTACTGGTTTTTAAAATGGAGGGTAAAGTTACTGAGGTTAATATTTGACTTTTTAGTTTTGATATGAAATTTTAATTTGTAAATCTGGTATCTTGCCACCTTCTGTCCTTTCCCCCCCTCTTTATTTCTTATCCACTTTAGGGTGATGATCTAGACTTGTGTGGAAGTTTTTAAAATGGCAGGACCCCCCCCCCCCCCCCCACACACACACACCTCTACTCCCACCTCCAACAAGAGACTGGCCTTGGCCTGGTCTGGGATCTGTCGTCTTTAGAGTGAAAGGGTCTCTGAAGAACTTTCTGACCTAAGTAGCAGAGTCCATGATCCCCATGCCTAAGGTCTGAGCCGAAACAGATTGTGCAGAGCTTTGTTTGCGGTCAGGTTCCGACACTTCAAACCTGGGTTTGGAAAATTGTATCCAAAAAAATAGGCTGCAGCTCACTGTATGTCGGAGACCCTTCGAGAATAGTGGGCTAAACTTAAAACAACTGATACTGGTTTCTTACCAACTGACTGATGTGGGCACTGATGGAGTGCTTTGGAGCTCTGTGGGGGGGCACAGGCCCGGGAACTGTCTGCCCCCGAGGGAGGCACCGAGACCCTGAGGAGTGAGCGTAGCAGAAGCCAGACTTATGGTGAAGGAGAGTCTCCTGGAAAACGCCAACTTTGGGGACTGACTCCCAACTCTAGATCTTACCTAAGGGATTCTGGGGGCTTCCTTTCATGTCCGCTCCTTCTCCTTGAGCGCCTTTTTCCTCAGACTGCTTAGAAAGACAAGCAGCTTTCAGTGGAAACACTCGTGCCCATGAGCTACAAATTCTTTGGTTGCCTGGAAGTCCTAAGGATTAACTGACCGCCTTGCCAGGGTGGAACTTGCTTTCCAGCTGAGCACAGGTTTACCTTCCTAAAAATAATCTCTGTATTCTCTAAAATCTGTAGTCCTTTAAGGGACTGGTATTTTTGAAGGTTAAAAAGTACAAGAGAATTTCATAAAACTTGATTTGGGGGTATCTAATAAGTTTATGTTCTTTAGTCAAGTGCTGACGAGTGGGTCTTGCTCACTTTTCCCCTCTTTCCAGGCCATGGCGATCATCAATGGCTCCCTTTACGTCTTCGGAGGGACAACTGGCTATATTTACAGCACAGACCTGCACAAATTGGATCTTAATACCAGAGAGTGGACACAACTGAAACCAAACAACCTCTCCTGTGATCTGCCAGAAGAGAGGTGAGGTTCTGGGATTAAAGCATATATATTCTTTCTTTCTAAGATTTGACTTTTTTCAGAATATTGGTAATGTAGTTTGAAACAACCCTTTGGCCTGGTTAAAATAGCCAGCTGGTTGTTAGATCCCCATTTAGCATTAAAGCAGAGTCTCCTGGTTAAGGATTGATATTTCCCTCTAAACTATACAAATTTTTTTCATATTATGTCCTCATATGTTTCAGTTTTTCTGTATTAGGAAGATGGTAACACTTTGAAGAGGAAACCAATAGCAGCAATTGTAAATAAGTTTCATATCACAGGCAAAACAATTACTTTCTGGTTATTTTTTTATTTCCCTTCTTAACTCGCATATCAGGAGTCTTTGGCTCATTTGCACACAGCCGTATCCCCAGTGCAGGGCTTGGTGCGGTGCCTGTAGTAGTACTCAGAGAAAACTGATGGGCAGGGGGAGGGCAGGAGGGGGAGGGTGGTGGGTGGAGGGTTTTTCACTTTAACTGCTTTGTAAAACACACATCCTGTGATTCTCTCTCTCTAGCTGCCTTCTAGCAGGTCCTAGCTCCTTCACTGTTCTTTCCTAATAGCATTTGCCTCTTAGGAGTCAACTCATTGGAAAACCTAGTGAGATTGTTTGCCCTCTAGTTTAAAAGCAAAGATAGTAAACAGTTTTTCAAATCTTTCTGATAGACTAATCCAAGATCTCTTTGTTGTCAAGAGAATGGTATGTAATTGCTAAGGAAGAATTTATCTTTATTATAGGACGTTAGTGGGCTGACCATTGCAGACCAGCCACCATGAGAGGGCTTGGGAGATGGACTAATAACTGGAATGATTTTGATATAATCTATTTTGTCAGCACCACGGCCCTCAGGAAAAGGAGGAAATCAATTAAGTTTTCAAAGCATGTTTAAAATTATATTTTATTGATTATGCTATTACAATTGTCCAAATTTTTCTCCTTTGCCCCCCTCCACCCAGCACCCTCACTCCCTCAGGCCATCATCCCCACACCATTGTCCATGGCCATGGGTCATGTGTATAGGTTCTTTGGCTTCTCCATTTCCTATACTATACTTCACACCCCCCTGTCTAGTTTGTACTTACCAATTTGTACTTCTTAATCCCCTTACTCCTTCACTCATTCCCCCATCCCCTCCCATCTGGCAACCATCTAAATGCTCTCTGCATCCCTGATTCTTTCTCTGTTCTTCTTGTTTGCTTAGTTTGTTTTTTAGATTTAATTGTTGATAGATATGTATTTATTGCTATATTATTTTTCATAGTTTTCATCTTCCTTTACTTAAATAAGTCCCTTTAACATTTCATATAATAATGCTTTGGTGACAATGAACTCCTTTATTTTTTTCTTGTCTGGAAAGCAGTTTAACTGCCCTTCCATTCTAAATGGTAGCTTTGCTGGGTAGAGCAATCTTGGATGTAGGTCCCTGTTTTTCATGACTTTGAATATTTCTTGCCAATCCCTTCTAACCTGCAAAGTGCCTTTTGAGAAATCAGCTGACAGTCTTATGGGTTTACCTTATAGGTGACTAACTTTTTTTCTCTTGCTGCTTTTAAGATTCTCTCTTTATCTTCAATTGTGGATAATTTAATTATGATGTGTCTTGGAGTGGGCCTCTTTGCATCCATCTTGTTGGGGATTCTGTGCTTCCTGGACTTGCATGTCTATTTCCTTCACCAGATTAGGGATGTTTTCTTTCATTATTTAGTCAGATAGATTTCCAATTTCTTGCTCTTTCTTTTCTCCTTCTGGCATCCCAGTGATGCAACAGTTGTAATGTTTGAAGTTGTCCCAGAGGCTGCTTACACTGTCCTCATTTTTTTGGATTCTTTTTTCTTCTTGTTGTTTTGATAGGTTGTTTTTTCTTCCTTATGTTTCAAATCATTGATTTGATTCCTGGCTTCATCCATTCTACTGTTGTTTCCCTGTAAATTGTTCTTTTTTTCAATTAGTGTATCCTTCATTTCTGAATAGATCTTTTTTATGTTGCTGAGGTTCTCACAAAGTTCCTTGAGCATCCTTGTAACCAGTGTTTCAACCTCTGCATCTGATAGATTGCTTATCTCCATTTTGTTTAGCTCCTTTTCTGGAGTTTTCATATGTTCCTTCATTTGGACCATGTTTCTTTGTCTTCTTATTTTGGCAGCCTGCCTGTGTTTGGTTCTATGTATTAAAAGTAGAGCTGCTTTGATTCTGTGTCTTGGTAGTGTGGCCTAATATAGTAAATGCCCTGTCGGGTCCAGTGACACAGCCTCCCCTATCTCCCGAGCTGGGTACATGAAGTGTGCCCTTTCTGTGCGCTGAGTACAGCTTCCTGTTGTAGTTGAGCCTTGGTTGCTGTTGGCAGATCAATGGGAGAGATTTACCCAGGCCAGTCAACTGCAAGGACTGGCTGTGACCACTGATCACTAACCTCTGCCCTCTGTGGAAGATCAGCTGTGGAAGAAGGACAGGGTGGTGGCCCTGGGGTTTCCCTGGTGGTGTAGGCCAAGGTCAGTGGCCACCTCTGTTTTGCCCTGGGCCACCCCGCCTGAGCTGTAAAGCAATTCAAGATGGCTGCTATTTGTGCTGGGCTTTGAGAGTCCAGGTGAAGCTAAACTGTGAATCTGGCTGGCTATTCCGCTCCTAGTGCCCAGCCTAGGGCTTGCTGTTGTTTGTTTGAGAGGATTTAGGAAGTTGTGAAGCATGAGCCAACATTCGCCATTCTTATGGAAAAGCAGCTTGGGTGAGCCCATAAACTGGGTAGGGTGGAGTGTCAGGGAATCTCCAGGGTGGGGAAAACAGTGTTTGCCAGCTTGATGGAGTCTCAGATATGTCACCAGCTTGCCAGCTCTGTGGGGAGAGGGTTTAGGAAAGGGACAATGGCCTCTGCTGACCTTGATGCCAGACTCTTCAGGTCCTCCCTGTGTGCCACTGGTGCCTTTCAAGCTGCTACCCAGGTGCTGGAGCTCAGAGGGAGTGAATCTGAGTAGGTGAGTCTGTGTGTGGATTCTTTAAGAGAAACTGCTTGGGGCTTCAGAAGTTTCTTCCATTGACTTAATCCCCACTGGTTTTTATAGCCAGAAATTGTGGGGATTTATCTTCCTGGCATTGGAACCCTGGGCTGGGGGTCTGGTGTGGGGCTGGGACTCCTCACTCCCAAGATCTCTCTCCTGAATTTTAATCTACTACACATGTATGTGGGACCAGCCTGTTCAGTGTCTGTGCCCTTCCTACCAGTCTGGATGGATAATTCCATAGTTGTCAGACTTACATTCAACTCGATTTCTGATGGTTCTGAGTTCTATATTTTAGTTATAACAATTCTGATGTAGTTGTGAGAGGAGTCGCACCGTGTCTGCCTATGATGCCGTCCTGACTGGAAGTCTTCAAAGCATTTTAACATGGTTGCCTTCTTTGAATCATTTACGGACAAATACATTGCTTCAGCTTGTATCTAGACTGCTTGGATAAAAGTTCGAGTAGGCGTTTCACATTACATCCATCGTTCTATGTAGCATATTTTTTTCTGGTATCTTTGTATTTGTTAAGTAAATATTTTTGTTTGAAAGCCCAAAGTCTAGGATTTCTTATTAAATGTAGGCAGATCACATTTTAAATCTCTGTGACAGCTTCCCTCCTGTGCAAAGTTATCACAGAAAGATTATAGAAAATCTAGAGAATACAAATAAGCAAAATGAAGAAATAAAAAACAAAACCTAAACTCAGATAACCAGGGTTAACATTTTCGATATAACCTTATGATAATTTTCTTTGCATATTTACTTATCTATAAAATTTTAATGGAATTATCGTGTGTCTGCTCTTATATACCATTAAAACATCTTCTAAATATATTGATAATTTTGTATGTTGACATTCTTACTGGTTACATACTAATCTGTATTATTTATATTTTATAATTTATTTAACCAATTCACTATTATTAAATCCTTAGGTTATTTCTAATAATTTATTATTATAAATAATGATCCAATAAAAACCTTTATGGCTAAATCTTAGGTAGATCATTTTTCACTTAATTATAAACATTTCATTGTGTATTTCAGATACAGACATGAAATTGCACATGATGGGCAGAGGATCTACATCTTGGGAGGTGGTACTTCCTGGACAGCTTATTCCTTAAACAAGGTATTATTAAAAAGAAAAACAGAGAGAGAGAAGTATAGAGGGAGTCATGTGCTATGCTAAGTAAGCAAGATAATTCTGTTACTGTAGATATTTTCATTTTAATTTTTGTTACCGTTTGATATTTTAATTCTTCATCAGTATCTATTTTATGTTCCATGCTCTTTGTCATGTAAGGTTGAACTCTGTGCCCCTGATATGCTCTCCAGTTGACAGCTGCATTATCACACACTGAATATGCTTTATGAAAATGATCCCCTTATGCTGGATGAGGAAGGTGACTGAAAGGAAGATATAGTAGCTTGAATGGAGCAACTAATTAGAATTGGAACCAGGATTCTCAGAATGTCGCATCCCTCTCATTGTCAGTGCTCTGTATCTAAAAAGAACAAGTATTTTTAGGACTGTGTGTCACTAACTTTAGAAAGCTGAGCTCTGAAGGGCTTTTATTCATCCGTCCCTGTGGCATTTCTAAATGCACATATCCCAGGGGGAGACTGGAGTAGGCTACAGAGGGAAAGAGAGCTCCCGGTTGCTTTGGAACCTTAATGGTCTTTTTAGAATTTGGTCTAAACTGTATTTCCCGTATTTTCTTACCAACACTTGTTTGTTTGTTTTTTTTCTGTTATAAAAATGATGCATTTGGCCCTGGCCGGGTAGCTCAGTTGGTTAGAGTGTCATCTGATACCCAAGGTTGCAGGTGCAATCTCTAGTCGGGGCACACACAGGAAGCAGCCAGTGAACGCACAGATAAGCGGACGGCAAACCGGTGTTTCTCTCTCTCCGTCTCTCTCATCCCCCCTCTTCCCTCTCTGCTTCCCTCTTCCTTCCCTTTCTCTAAAATCAATTTAAAGATGATAATATTCATTGTAGAAAATGTGAAAATTTTAGAACTCCACTATTTTCATTTTTAATGATTTTAAAATATTGAGATCATATCTGTGCTTAATTTTTACTTGTTTCATTTAATGTTTTAGCTTATATTAGAATTGGCAAAGAGCTGACGAAAACAAAGGCAAAGAGGACTTTTCAACCAATAGATATGTTTGTACTGGCTGTTAAAAGTTTATTTTTCAGTCTAGCTAAAATTGTTTGTGTATCTTTTTTTTTTTCTCTCCAAGATCCATGCATACAACCTTGAAACAAATGCCTGGGAGGAAATTGCAACAAAACCCCATGAAAAAATAGGTAAATTTATAATACTTATTCGTCTATCTTTAACAAATGTGTTTTATACTTTTAGATGTTTTGGAAGGGGAAATTAATTTTATTGAATTAATGACAAGTAAAATATCTGTTGAACTAGTATTAGAAATTACTTAAATTCCTTAGCTAAATTATTCCTTTTCTTTAGCAATTGAACAGAGACTTTTAAATTTGTTTTAATTAAAAAAATTTGTAATTGTTATTCTGTAACAGTTGTCCCAAATTTTCCCCCTTTGCCCTCCTCCACCCAGACCACCCACCACTCCCCAGTCGATCCCCACACCGCTGTCCACGTCCATGGGTCATTCAAACATGTTTTTTGACTAGTTCCTTCCCCTTCTTTCCACCATTATGCCCTTCCACCCTCCCCTCTGGCAGGGGATTGCAGAATTCTGTGGAAGTTGGGAAGTATGGGTGGGATAAGAAATAGGTACTTAAATCAAGATCTTCCTGTCTGTGGATAAAAGGGCTTGGGAAAGCCACTTCTGACCCCTGACCCTGCCACCCCATTTGGTTTTCCTGGCACCCTAACATTGGACTGCTATGAGACTCCTACGGCTTTATGTTAGTGTGAATTAGGAAGGACTGGAGGGCTAGTCATTGTTTACTGAATGCAACAAAGGGATTATTTTAAGTGAGCTGCTCAGAGTATGTCTTTCCCTAGGTTATATAAGTGTTATTCCCAGTCTTTCTGTGAATAAGGAGTTTCTGTGTTTGTCTTGGCAGGTTTCCCTGCAGCCCGAAGATGTCACAGTTGTGTTCAAATAAAAAATGGTAAGGAATTCCAAATAATGTCTTATTTCTTAATGATAGCTCCTTAAAAGAGGCTATCATTTGGGAAGAATATATTTCTTGTAGTTTCAACTTAAAGGGAAATCCATAAAGCTGTGCCTCGCTCAGCAATTTTTATAAAGTAAACTAGTATGTTTGGGTTCCTTCAGTTATCAGAGAAGTTGAAAATTGATGGTAAGTAAGCTTTTATTATACCACCTGATTTTCAGTACTCTTCTGCAGCCGATATTGGTGACTATGGTGGGGAATACTAATAACTTGACATGCAGTAGAGGCCACAGTGAATGTTATATTAAAATTGTAATAACATCTTCAGCCCTGGCTGGTGTGGCTCAGTGGACTGACCGCTGGCCTGTGAACCAAGGGGTTGCCGGTTCGATTCCCAGTCAGGGCACATGCCTGGGTTTCGGGTCAGGTCTCTGGTTGGGGGTGTGTGAGAGACACATCCCCCCAACACAGTAATGTTTTTTTCTTTCTCTCTCCCTCCCTTTCTCTAAAAATAAATAAATAAATAAAATCTTTTAAAAAATTGTTATAACATCTTCAGAATGTTATTTCATAAAGTTAGTTCTGTTCCCTGTCTGGTGCTAAATAGAATTCTCAGCTCATCCTTTGTCCTTATGACAACAGAGCATTGTCTGGCTGCACAGAGCCGCTGCAGCCGCTTTGTCCGAGTGTGATGAATGGCTTCGCTTTGGGTAACCTTTCTGTCTTTCAATTTACAGCTTATTTTATAGTTTGATGCAGCACCTAAAATTCTTTTCGGGGAGGAAGTTGTGTATAACCGAGTTTGATAGCCCGTGTCCTTTCAGCGGCTTCGTTTGGACTTTGGGATTATGCTGCCCTTTCTAGTACAGAGGTTCTTTGTGCCGTGCTTCTGTGTTTGGATAAGATTTATCGACAGTGGCATTGTTCAGCTTTGCCTCTCTAAGAATGGAGCTGTACTTTTCTTGAATCCTAGCCAAAAAGGTTTTCAGTGTATTTAATAGTGTAATTAAGTATTGGCTTAAACTTGATCTAGACCTGAATTAAGACATCTATTAATTTGATTCTTTGAGTCCAAAGCACCACACAAACAGAATTCAGCTTTAGTTCTGGGCATTTAGTTTGAAGGTACACATAACCTTTGTTACAAGTTGTCTAATTAGTTATAGCTAACTGAATTCACAAAAACAAAAACAAGCAAAACAACAAAAAACTTTGATTTTGGGAAGATCTTTTTTCTGGTGTAAATAACCATTTATATCAAACAGGGCTCCAAACTGTCCTCTTTGAGCTGAAGAAAGCTTGGAAGGCCTTCTTCTGGGCCCCACACTGGGCATTTTGTAAATGTCTCTCCTCAGATTAAAGGTCTGTGTAAAGAACATCCGTCTCCATGGATAGATACATGTCAGTCCTTTCTAGGATATTACTGAAAGGGAGAGTTCGCGAACTGGTGGTCTGCAGATGTGTTTTATTTGGCTCACATGTGTATTAAAATTTTTTGAGTTAATGGATAATACCTAAACATCAAAATATTTCAATTTAAAGAAATCCAGATTTCCAGGTTCTCTGGAAAAGAAAAGGAAGATCTGGCCATTACTGACCTTACGTCGTGCGCGGTGTGAGCAGCTGCCACCGCGTGCCCTCCCCTCCATGGTGCACATGCACTCCTGTGTGTGTCTTTTCCCTGGGCCTCCTTGCTCACTTTCTTTCTTTGCCTGGCACCTAGATATGAAGCTAGACATGCAGCCTCCTTAGAGGTCTGCATCCTTAGTCCCAGCAAAGATCCCAACATCGTGTGCGAACTCTACTGAGGGGCGAGGCGGCAGCACGAGAGGCCTGTCCAGCTGACGTCCTCTGCGGCTCGGGGAGTCAGCCGGACTGGGCCCAGGCCAGCCAGCCGCGTGCTCTGGTTACAGAACATGCAGTAGCTGTGGCTCATTTCCTTTGTGTGATCTTGGCTTTCTCTTTTTTCGATAGATGTGTTTATTTGTGGGGGCTACAATGGAGAAGTGATCCTGGGAGATATCTGGAAATTGAATCTGCAGACTTTTCAGTGGGTGAAGCTCCCAGCTACCATGCCAGAGCCGGTTTATTTTCACTGCGCAGCTGTTACTCCGGTGAGCCTTTATTTGCCTATCTTCCCCACGCAGGTGCAGATGCTAGGGACATCTTTTTAGGGATATTAGCAAAAAAAAGAGATTCTGATATTAGCAAACCTTGGATTAAGAATGTGTTTTTAGCCCAGGCTGGTGTGGCTCAGTGACAGCCTGCAAATCGAAAGGTCACTGGTTCGATTCTCCGTCAGGGCACGTGCTTGGGTTGCAGGTCAGGTCTCTAGCTGGACATGTGTGAGAGGCAACCAGGAGATAAGATACATACACGTTTCTCTCTCTTTCTCACTCCCTTCCCTTCTCTCTAAAAGTAAATACATTAAATCTTTTAAAAAATGTGTTTTTAAAACATTCTTCCAGAGCTAGCTCTTCTTCTGAAAAAAGGGAAGAAAACACATCATCTGCAAAGTTAAGAGGGCGGCGTGAATGTGAGAGAAACGCCGCGTGTGGTGGTCAGGCCGGCGGTGGTGTCGGAAGGGTTTCCTGAGAGGGCAGAATAGGTTTATCCTGAGATGCCGTGTTATTGAAGATTCTGCTAATTTTTTGAATGCAAAGACCTTGATTTTCATTTCTGTATTCCCTGTGTTGAGTACAATATATACTTTAATGTTTCTTGAAGTAAAAAAAAACTATAGTTTTTACCTTTCGAGCTTATTCATTGTTTAAAACCAGTCTTTATCCCTGAAAACTATGTTGGGATCAGTGAGAAATATTTTGTTTCATTTCATCTCAGTTCAGCCTATGATGAATTACGATGCTTGAATCTCGAGCCTTAGTGTCTGTTGCTCTCCGTTTGAATTTGTCCTCTTTGACTGCCATTTGCTCATAGGCTGGCTGCATGTACATCCACGGAGGAGTGGTGAACATCCATGAGAACAAACGGACTGGCTCCCTGTTTAAGATCTGGCTGGTGGTGCCCAGCCTGCTGGAACTGGCCTGGGAGAGGCTGCTCGCGGCCTTCCCTAACCTAGCCAGCCTCTCCCGAACACAGCTTCTGCACCTCGGACTCACACAGGGACTCATCGAGCGCTTGAAATGAGGATTTCTGGACTGTTCATTGATACTGGAAATGTTAATTTAAAGAGACTCCTTTATTTATGGGCAGTGTAGAATGTGCTACAAAGAGGATTGGTTACCCTGATCAAGGCCTTATTCAGAAATACATCAGATGCCTTTCGTACATTGGTTTTAAGTTTATGGAATATCACTTTCCCTCGTGCTTCTTTCTTTGCTTCTTTCCCTCCCACCCCAGTGCACATACACATACACACACTCACGTACTATACTCCCTCTTCCTTGAAGGAGCCGAGGGAGAGTCTGAAAATACCTAGTAATGGTATGAATCAAGATAAGAATTTTTTAGATGAACTTTCAACATATGACCTTGTCAGCCAGGCTGTATAAATTAAAGCAACATCATCAATGAAAACAAAAATAAAATTAAAAAATTTTAAATCTTGCAACAGCAGCAAGATGTTTGGGGGCTAGAACAAGAAGGCTAACCTTGAGAATCTTGCGGGCCGTATGTAAAGCTAGATGTTTAACTTACTGTTTTCCAAGATACGTCTGAGTAGCTGTTCTAGTGGTAGCTGTGGTTGACATCTTGCTGCAGAGATACCCAAACCTCATTTTTGACTTTGGAGGGAATTTAAGCAGCTCAGCAGCTCTTGATTAGCGATATCTTTTCTCATCCTTATGGTGCCAGCAGTGCTGAGAGTTGATAATGGCTTTGTCAAAAAACTTATGTGTGTGTCATAGTTGTGCTGTTTGTTGTTGCTCTTAGAAATTATGACACCAAGCACGTTTCAAATCAAGAAACTTATGGTGGCCAAAGTTCTTTGTTTGCGCGGTTTTGAAATTCTATGCTTATTTATTAATGGTTTCAAGTATCTCTTTGACTTCTTACTTCTCCATGGGGGATTGCAGACCCAAAATATGTGGTACAAACTCTGTGGGACGTAAATGTAAGCCCGTGAGAGGCCAGAGCAGAGCTGGGCAGTGGGGCTTCTACTCTGGGCTATGGGCTTTGACTGTCACGCCGACCGTTTCCTTTCAGAACTTGTTTCTTTTCTAACTCTGGGCCATGCACCTGCCATTTTCTTAGGCGATGGGTTGTATCTCTAGAAAGCCAGTTGGCCCTTGATTTTTCTCTTAGCTTATTGCTTCCTTTTCTGTCTGCTTTAATGTACACGGTGCTGTAATTGTCTAGTAAATGGATCAAAGGTCTTAGGAGAAAAACCACAGGTCATCCTTCCCAAAGAACTAAGCATCATTTTAAAAACTTGCACGAGGAAGGAATGGAATAGAGGATCATTCACTTTTTAGCGTGAAATTCTAGTTCTGGTTTGTTTTGTGTTGACGTTTAATTCTGAAGAAGAAATGACCTAAATTTTCCCTTGCTTTGCCATCAGGCCGTGGGAGGAGTTCAGCAGGTCAGCGAGAGGTGAGCATGCAGCGGGCCTCAGGTGCGTGGCAGGTGCTAAAGGCGTGCGGTGCTGATCATCCTGTTGCTAACCTCACAGCAGGAGACTCAGATGGGAGCCATGGGACGCATTTTTCCTTTAAGTGCCTCTTTTTCACTTAGCTCTTAAAGTTTTTCTTTTTCCTTCATCCCAGAAGGGATATCTTTAGCTCATGTGTGGATTTAAAATCACCTTTGAGTCATGGCTAAAAAGTTCCCATCTAGTGTTCACTTCTGGGGTAGAGAAGAGTGTGGCTTCTAGACTTGAACTCCTAACTTGGAGGCCTTGTTATAACATCCCATCCATGTTGGGTTGAGTTCATTGAGCCTGCATTTGGCGAAGTCTTGCAGTAACCATTCATCTGTGAATATGGGTCCTTTAGTGGGGAATGAGGGATGTGGGGGCGAGGCAGGAAAAGGAAGAACTCCTCTAGAGGTCCCACCCCCATCTTGCCACGCCCAGTCTGTTTGGCATTTAACGCACCACCCACTGCTGGGCTTGTTCCAATGAGGAGTTCTCTCCAGATCGAGTCAGTCTGAGCAGCCCCGTGAGGTCTAAACAGGCTTTGTTGCACAGCTCCAGCCTGGTCTCTGGAACAGGTCTCTGGAAGTACGGCCAGAATTAAACAAGTCATGCTGTCTAGGGTGATGAAAGGCTTTTTGTCATGGATTTACATAGGGACCAAAGACTAGAATGCCCAGCCTCCGTGCTCCTCCTTCCGTGGTTCTGGGGATATAAGTGGGTGCCCAGCTTTTCTACACCATGGAGCTAGAAAGAAGGTCTGGTTCAATCTACACTTGCCAGCATCCTTTTTAAAGCCTTCTGAGGGCTGACTCCTTTGAGGTAGACTTTGGAGGCCTGACACCCAAGACCTTGTGTGTGACATTTTCATAAAAGTGTACATCTTTGGTCTAAAGTGTCTTCTTTTAATGCAACACTGGTGACAGTGATGTAGTGTGACCGGCTCCGAGTGCTGTAGAACCACCCATTGTGCACATTGTCCTGGGTGCCAAACGAGACCGTGTGTGTGACGACTCAACCGTCGATGTCTGGGGGTCGCTGGGCATTTTAGTGTACCTATAACCAGCTTTTAAAGTTGTCCTTTGACTCTGGACTCCTGGCACTGCTACTTGATTTAGGAAGTTTGTGCCTGCTGCTTCTTTGCCTCGCCGAGGTGCTCCCAGCCATCTGCTGCAGTCCTGTAACTTAAGTGCAATATAGAGAAACACATGTGGGTATATGCAGATTCTATGTAGGGGATGACTGGAACGCAGGTAGGCACTTTCTTGTATCTGTCTTGGGGAAGCCAGCTCATTACTTCAGAGTCATACTGCACCCAGAACTTGAGATGTGGTTGGCTGGCTTAAGCCAATTCTTGGCAAAAGCTGGATTTTCGAGTCTGCGTTTTCTTCCTCCCATCCCTGGGTTCGTTAGCGTTGAGCCTTCCCGGTCTTCTCTGCGCTTTCTCGTGTTGGCGCATCCGCCTGCATTTCTTTGCCCAGGAATAAGGAAGGTCCATTTGTGAGAGTGTCCTAAATGGAGAGTTAAAACCTAATATTTAATACTGTCGGTTCTTCAGTGTATATAATAATTTATCTGTGAATGTCATACTTTAAGTAAAGAAAATCATGCTTTCTTAATTTAATAAAGTGTTTTCCACATCCTGGAAAAATCTATAAAACAATAGAGAGTAGATTGAGATTTTAACTATTCTTCAGGGGCCAAACCGAAATCCTTCCAGTGATATGATGTAAAACTTTGCGCTAAACTATTCATGCCTGTTACATAGCTAGATTTAAAAATTTATTAAACACATTTCTAAGCAAAAGGTATATTAACAGTGACCTTCGGTTATCCAGTGTAGCAAGTATAAAGCACAGATCATTGAAGTCCATAGATAATCAATTTCAACTTTTCTATCAAACAGTGATTCATAGTTTTCCCTTCCTACTCTTTTCCCATAAGCACCTCCTTTTCAATGGTTGGGGCTAATGAGTAGTTAGAAATGGAAAAGGGAGAATCATGGGAGGGGTTAGAAACCAGCAGACGTATGAGCAGCCTGGTCAGCCGTAAATGGCCAATCTGCCGACAGCTGTTGAATGCTGAATGAGGACCCATTGGTGGTAGTCCTGAGTTTAGATGTTACTCTTCACTCCTCTGCTTTGGCATGGCGTTCTGCCCTGAGTTCTAGACTGTCTGTCCTCTAACCCCAAAGAACCCTTAGCCCTTATGGGAAGAAAAAGCAGTGTGTGACGTAGAGAAAAGCCCATTATTTAAACATATTACTTTGGCTCTCGACATACTCATTTCCCGTTGTTCTTGCAGGAGCCTGTTTTTCTCCTTGGAAATACCTTTTCCAGCCATATCACTTGGCATGAAGGAAAGGTTGAATGATCTCAAAGACTATGTTGTTGTCTTAATGCTGTAAAACCACTTTGCCTTTTGGTGGTCTTACAGATGTAGAACATGGTGCAGGTACCGACTGCCTACCTGTCAGCACTCTGATGTAGCACAAAAAGCCATTTTCCTTATTCTTCGTTGTCTGGCACGGAGCTCCAGGATGGATGAGGGTTTATGGTGTCGTGATCATAAGCTCCAAAACCTGTCCCCATTAGCTTAAACTGGTTTGGTTTCCCAAACACCTCGGGGCACTGGGAGCGCTCACGGGGCCTGAGGCAGCTCGCAGGGTTCTACAGCCTCCGAGTGGTCGCCACCAGGCCACGCCCGGCAGCTGTGTTTCCCTTCTGAGGTCGTTCGATTCGGTGGAGAGCAACTCCTTTTGTCTGGTGTCATGAGAAGAAGTTCTGAGTTGTGCTTCAAAAGTGGTGCCATCTTTTTAGTATAATTTGCATATTTTTTATTTTTTTCACTTTTTAGAAGTCTCTTTTAAAGGCCCTGCTCAGTCAGTGTACAGGGTGAGCCAGAGGCAGTCGCGCCGCGCGTAGTCTTTGCTGTTGTACTAGTCGCACATTTAGAATACAAAGGGGGCATCAGAAACACACGGGCCTGTAAAGCCACTTCCCTGTACGGAGTCTGAGCGGGGACAGCGCCAGGTATCTCCCTGTCAAGGCACCTGCCAAGGAGGATTTTTGGGAAGAACCTAGGTAAGAAGGGGAAACCTCTCTCACACGCCGTCTCGAAGGGCGGGCCTGGGCTCGGCTTCTTGTACAGGGTATGCTTAGGCCACGCACGATGCTTGCCTTACTGTAAAGCTATTGCCACAGTCCTGTTAAATAGTGTGGAAGTCCTTTTGCAGTTCGGTGTGCATGCTGTATGATCAGGACAGCTTTTCCACCTTGCCTGGTTTCCTACGAGCCGGTAGGAAATATAGTGAATTTACCCTAAAATGTCCAATCTGTATTTATGTACCTTGTCAGTGTTTTGCTGTTGGTTTTCTAAAACAATCTGATCAATAAATCTTATCCAAATGTATTTGGTTCAAGGCTGCCTTGATTGTCTGATGGTAATTTCTGTGTATGCGAGCTCACCTGTGTGACCTGAGTACCAGCCCCACCTATCTCTGCCACCCCCTTTGCCACCCCACCGGGTCTACCTGTCTCTATAATATCTGTGGGTCATCCACTTGCCACCCTCACCTGCTGTGGGCTCCTCTCTGCTCCCCATCTGGAACTCCGGGACACACAACAGTCCCCTCAGCAGAGCTCTGCTCCCTCCAGGACACAGCGACTGTGTGACTGTGGGGCACAGGTCATGCTCCCTCTTACTGCCGCATCCCATCCAGTCTCCAGTCCACCAAGTTTGGAAGGATGTAGCAATCCTTTTCTGAAGGGCTGGAGGAGCCGCAGACAACTGAAAGGGGAAATGTGAACCTTTATACAGAGTCACGACCATCTTTATGATTCGAGAGAAAAGCCCCAGGAGGAGCTGAGCCCTTTGCAGGGACTCTTGGGGGACGAAGCTGTGTTTCTAGTTCTGGCTTTGGTCTTCCACCTGCGTCCCCTGCAGAACCTCTGCTTTGTGTCACTTCATCCTCTGATAGGACCCCTTCTCCCAGCAGCGCTTTCCCCAGTGTCTCATGTCCCGAGCAGGCGTCTCTTTCAGGTCTAACATTCTGTGATTATGACCAAAAGCTTGGAGCATAACAGGGAGCATTGTACATGAGCAGCCACACTGAGATGAGTCTTGAGTTAGCTCTTCACCTTGATCTTGGTATTAAGATCACTGATCTTGCTGCAGTGGGAGGTCTACTACGAAAGCTGGCTGTTCCTTAGTGAGTGCCACAGCAGTGCAGACTCCGAGGAAGAGCGCTGAAAATCGAGTGTGTGATAGAACAAGGCCAGCTGCGGGGCCCACCTATGACCCAGTGGCTTCCACTCCATGAGGTATGCTTGTTAAAAATACAGGATCCTGGGCCCAAGTCCCAACGATTCTGTTTTAGTAGGTGAATAGTTTAACAGACTCCTCTGTTGATTCTAATTTAGCTGATTTTTGGCATGTGGGAATCCACACCCCACAGCTGAGTAACAGCCTGGTGCTGGTCGAGACGGCTGCGACACCTTGCTATTTTACTTGTCACTGTCGTACTTAATTACTCAGCAGGGAACTAGAGCAAAGGCCAGAATGAACGCTGCCCAATCTGTTAGAACTCTGTACAGATGGCAGACTGGCCCCCCACCCAGACCTCCTCTCCCTCTAGGAAAATCACTAAAGGAACAGTAAAAAGGCCTTACTTTTCTTTTCCCTAAAATGGGGCCAGTAACAGTAACCTGTGTCTTAACATTATTGTGTGGCTTAAATGAGTAGATATGTGTAGAGCACTTGGAATGCTGGCTGGCGTGTAGTGCGCGTTACTAGGTATTTACTATTATTGTTCGCTATAGTTGATAGAACAAGAAATAAAGGCAAAATATTGACTTAAAATTACAGAGTTAACCAGTCAAGAAGTTGGATATAGGAAGATGAGGCAGGGAAGGCAGAATGATGTCAGTGAGCTATCTCCTCATCTTCCATAGCAGGAAGGTAACCTGTGGAATGTCTCAGATTGAAACAATAAATAGTAGAGCATATTCATCAGAGGTAACCATCAGAGGTAAAGGCAGGTAACCAAAAAGCAGCCCAGAGGGCTGGCCATGGTGAGCCAGGTGAGGAAGTAGGAAGGGCTGTGGCAGGGACTGCTGGGTTTATTAAAAGTATGATTCTGGTTTTTGTTTGCCCCCCCCTTTCCTTTATAAAGCAGAACCCTTCACAGGTCTTTCAATTTAGCTCTTCTTGATACTATAAATCTGGGTCCTCTTCAAAAAGTCAGATTGTAAATAAGTGATTCAAAGGGTTGGGCTGGAGTATTAGTATTTTTAATTTCTTCACTGATTCAGTTGTAGCCTGGCTACTATTTGGGAATCTTTGATTTAAAAGCCCATCTTGCAAGCTAGTAGAAAGAAAAAAATAAAGGGAGGTAGGGAATTTTTTAAAAATACAGCCGCCTCCCCAAGAAAATAGAGAAACAAACAAATAAATGGACAGCGGTGGGGAGAATAAAACATACACAGTCTCTCAGGTGTGTGATTTTACCCTGTTACCCAGAGCCTATTCCCCATTATCCCATCCATTCATAAAATCAAGCAAGAACGTTATTCCTAAGCAGAAGTTGTTTATGTCATAAACATAGCAAGGTGAGAGGGGGCGAGAGTTTCTGAGTGACATACAAAGCCCACCCAGCAAATCCATCTCACACAGGCGTTGGGGTCTAGCCCTAAAGTTGCACACGCGGAAGTGAGACACGCTTCTCAGATTCCCAGACGCAGTGTGTCCACACGCCTGTACGGCGGTCAGCCCCCCAGGACAGCCTCAGCAGCTCCCGCAGGAAGATGCAGGGCCCTCCGCAGGAACCGGCCCGGCCCGGCCCGGCCCACACCAGGGCTGCAGAGAAGGACAGGGGCAGGTGGGAGCTCTGGCCACTTATTTTTTCAGGACCTCACACCACGCTGGGAGCGTTAGAGCAGTATTGCAAAAGGCAACTGTGAAAAGAAGAGAAAGCAGCTGTCTTTCCATCTGTCACTTTTGAGGGGACAGATATGTCAGTTCATCTTTCTTGAACCTTCCACCTAAAGCCATCTGGCTGATGGAGCTAAGGTGGCTGTCTCTGTGACTGCCAAGGGTGTTTTCAAAACTCTCCCCCATGGCACTATAAGGAAGCACACTTCCTGGCTCTGACAACCGAAAAGGAATGCATCAGGCATCTGGGAGCCCTTTTTCTCCCTAAGCCTCACCCTGGAGGAGAAGATCGGACCACCGTTCAGGATGACAGCATCTACCCCTTGCTCCCCCTGCACTGCCCAGACTCCCTCCAGACCTGCCATCCACGAAGATATGACCCCTAAGAATGCTGACCTTGGAGGTTGCTCAGAGGGGCATGTACCCGAGGGGTGCCCTGGGGCACCAGGACTGGCAGCCCAGCCCTGCCTGGTTTCACCAGGATAGCAGAACCCAGCCGCTGACTCCTTCCATGTCAGCCAAACATTTTCATGGTTCATTTTCTCCTCAGCACACCGGTGTCGGAATGTAAACTTGGAGCTCTTACCCCCACATAGTAGATCAACAGGCCAAGAGACAAGCCAAGTTAAGTGGTTTGCCTATTACCCAGATGTGCGCAGCTCAGAAATGGTGGCTCTGTCTGCAATTCTGAGAGGTTTCCTTCTTAAGAAATGTCACCCCTGGGAGGGGCCTGGCTGCAGGCACCCCGTGGTTGATGAGAAGACACAGAAGGCCCTGATGGATGTCTGGAGAACTGCATCCCCCCTGGCTAGAAGTATCTGATGGAGGTGGGGGGGGGGGGGTGATGGTTGAGGCTGCGAAGGCAGGGGGTCCGGGAAGCGCCATTTCCCCTTCGGGAGTGAGTCCTCCGCCCGCCTCTGTCCCGTTGGGCAGCAGCAGAATGCCCGCAGCATACAGGGCTGGGCTGTGTAAGTGGAGTTTCTCCCAAAGCAGCAAGATGGCCCGGAGCTTCCATCAGGGTGTCGCCGAGGCAGGCCGGGTGGCTTCTCTGCCTCCCCCTAGCGGGGAACAGGGCCGATCGAACTCTGCCAGGAGGGGGCGACCGCGTCCGACTCCTGGGCTCCAGACTGCACGCGGGGCTACAACTGCCCCCCGGAAGAGAGTGGGGCGCCGGTGGGAAAGCCCGGGCCTGGTGCTCGGCGCTCTGGGGCAGTGGCGGACAGTGCCCGCGCCACACCGGGGATTTGGCAGGTTGCGGCCCTGCCCTCAGGGAACTTCCACGTGGCGGGGTGCAGGCCGGCCAACTCACGGGGAGGGCTGCCAGAGGCTGGGGGGGGGTTCGCCTTTCTGAGAGCCCAGTGTGCACGAGGAACTAGAAGGAGCACGAGGGAGAATGTTATTACACCGGGGACCACAGCCTTCCAGAAACTCCTGTTTCCTCTGCAAGGGGAAGGAGCCGTGCTGCAGGATCGAGGGGCACGGGGGGGGGGGGGGGAGGAGGACGGCCCTGCCGACCCCGGCAGCTGACAGCAACTGGCTTTACTCTAAGGGGCCGGGGACAGGTGGACACCCGAGAGAACGTGGGGCGATTGTTGCGGGCGCCGCAGGCCCCGCGACAGGAGCCCTCGGCGGTACCCAAGGCGCAGAGTGAGGCTGGGCTTCAGCAGCCATCGCTCTCGCCCCTGGGCAGGGCACCCTTGGGGAGAGCGGCTGCCCTGCTCCCAGCAGAGGCCTGGCACCCAAGGTGGCACCGCAGAGGCTTTGCTAACCCCGGCACCGCTGGGAGGAAGACGGGGAGGGGTAGAACTGGTGTGGTGGGGGGGGGCACGGGCGACCCTGACGAACGCAGCCCCAAGGCCCACAGCCTCCGCCGCAGCCCACCTCACGTGGCTAGACAGCCCTCCGGAGGGAGGGGGAAGCGCCACTCTGAGCTGGAATGATCTGGTTTGGAGCGGCTGGTTCCCTCCTCCTCTCCCCCGCCTGCCGCCCTCCCCCCTTCCGCGCCGGCTGGCTTGTGCCGCAGTCCAGACCAAGGTAAACGGAGAGGGGGACGGAAAGAACGCTGCGTTTCCATGGCAACCGGGAGGGCAGCCGCGGTGCTCTGGGAAGTCAGTGTGGCTTCCAGGGAAGAAAAGGCTCGCTAGAAAAACAACAGGGGCGAGGCCCCTGCCCAGTGCACACGGAGCGGGCTGTTCTGGGGCTGGACACAGGCCTGGCTGGGGGGCGGGGAGGGCAGGAGTCAGGCCCCCTGTGCAGAATGGCAGATGAGGAGGGCGGCTGGGCAAACACCAGAAATGCTCTTGTACAACTGTCGACAGGTCGCTCAATCCTCACACCCAGGGAGCAGAAAACGGATGCTAGAGCTCTTAGCCCCCCAAACTCACACCTGGCTGTCCCTTTCCTGCTGGCTGTCCCCATCCCGTGGGGCTGCTGGGTAGAGGGGCCGCCACAGAGGTCAGATCCAGAGCCCCAGAGTCCAG